GATTTAAATAATTTAAAAATATATAAAGAAACAATTTTTAAAATTTATTAATTAAAATTTGCATGATATTTTTAGAAATAAATATTATATATATTATAAAAAGGACTAAATTCAAATTATATATATATTTTAGATAAAAAAATACCTTAATATATGTAAAAGATATATATATATTTGATATATTTAATGCGTCCGGATCCGGATATCTGGACCTTAAAATTTTACTATCCGGATCCGGATCCTCTTTCACGGATCCTAGATTTTACTATCCTTATCCGGATCCGGACTCCCTGGATATCCTAATTTTCGGAGCGGATCCGAACGGATATTGGATCGGATCTCGGATCCCGGATAATAATTCCACCTCTAAATTTAAAAGAGCATGTGATTTGTCGGTTTTAACCCCTAAAATGATGATGCTTTTCCTTGACTTCTGCATTTGGAAAACGAAAGTTATCCTCCGATTATACAATGATCTCCTCTTGCAAATTTACTAAACAGTAAAATCTCTGGTTTGATTCTGACTGAGGGGTTAAAATTACAAATATATGTTATATTTGTTTTGTTCATGTTTTTTCACTTCTTCCATTGTGATTGGTGCTCAATTTGATTTGGAGATATAACAAGATGTATTCCTACATACATTAAGTAATCTTCTCCATCATTCCATATTCAGCATTGGTCTGTTCCCTTCAACAAGTTGGTAATAACTAGAATATGGTCGCGCATTCGAGAGAGTTTTTGTTATACAATTTTACTAAATTTAACAATTTTATTTAATTAATTTAGTATTTATGTATGATAAAACAACCAATTTTTTTTTAATACAAAATAATATTTCATTTAAAATAAAATTAAATAATTTTCTGATTTAATATTAAAACTTCTTGAAAAAATGAAAATAGTGATTATCAATCATTTCTATATCGATCGTTACCATTTAAAATATATTTGTTTAAAAATATGCTACGTACATTTATATGACCATTAAATAAATCATGTTATCTAAATAATCAATCATTTTCTAATCTATCATTATAGTATGATTATTTATCGTTTATCTTTGTCTCGTGGGTTATATATATTTTGATTTTTGTTCATCGTAGAGAAATATTTGAGATTTTATGATACTGTTTTTAAAATGTTGGTCTTCCTAATAGGTTGACAAATAAAAAAGTTAAATGTGTTACTTAAATGTGTGGCTAAAAAAATAAAGTTGAAGTGAATGTATGATTTTCTTTTTATTTTTTTTATTGAGCTACAAACCTTTTACTATGAAATTTTTTTTTCTTCATATTTCATAAAATATAAAGATCTTTAAAATAATATAAAAGAAATTATTTTTCTTTTAGAATTTTAGAAATATAGTTACATTAGTTGCTTTTTACTAACTACTTCAACTGTAAATTC